CTTCGACAACGTAGCGATTGTTGTCACCAGAAAGTAAGTATGGTGTGCAGTATTTAATGCGAGAACACACCGCATACCCCCTGTTTTCCCATCATAACCAATGATAAAATTTTGGTGAGCGGGCTTCATTTCAGCCCGGTTGTTGTCCCCAACGCAAAAATCCTACTAACGGAGACTAGACCACTCCCCCCTATATACAAGCCTCAGTTCTACCACTATGACTCGGCAGGCATGCACTGCGAGACGCGGATTGAATGGGACGCGATTGAACGGTAAAACGATGGACTCTTGTATCCTTTCTGATGTTTCCACATTGTACCTTGGAAGTTCTCACATCCATTTATTACACAATGTACAGGTTGGTAGCTAAAGAGATTCAACGTGACCATTCGGGACTTTGTGAACAAGATAGACTGGTAAGGGTCAAGAAAGTTGAATGGCGCATATTACAGGTATCGTCTCGCCAGCCGTGGCCACTTTATCACACTCTTTGCATTTCATTGTCTCTTATTCGCAACGCTGGTGGTGCTTCTGCAGACTTCGGAGATCCCACAACAACCGCTTTGTAGTGAAGACTGTGTTATATACACATACATGTTTCTTTGATCCCTTGTAATCCGTGACTTTCGGAACCTTGAAAGGCCTCGGTACCTCGAGATGGACCCTACGGACTATCGTGCAGGCTTACATTCTGCGTTGTCATCACTTCTACGTGGTGCACTGCTGCTGCGATTACAGGCATAAGGTGTTACCCTCCCACCGCAAGGGCCATACCGTAGGAGGAGAGAGGAGGGGTCTGTAACCATAGAGGTAGGAGCTCCAACAATTCCAACGAAGCAAGAGCAGCCACTACATATCATTATGCTTAAACAAGATGTTCAGAATCTGTGTGAGGGGATTGCAAGCATTTGGCAAAAAAACGGACCACTTACAGTCGGTTCTTTTTGTGAAAGTTTAGAAGAAAGAAGAGGGATTGCACTAGCAAGAATGGGGATACAAATAGCAAACCCTAGAAGGGTTGTACTCGCTATAGAGCACCCCACTACAGGCTAGAGCATAAGATAACATTCTGACACACCCCCATAGCCAAAGTGGGGTGTAATCAGCAGAGCAAGCAAAGCAGTACAAGCTCAGGGTGGATCACAATGTCACCACACATTCTGAGCACAAGTTCAAGAAGCAATAGTTTAAAGGGTACAATTATGAGCAAAGCTAGTGGTAGTCACAACGGGCAAGCGAGGAGGAGGAGAGAGAGTGAGAGGAGAGGAGATAGGAGGCGACGGCTGAAGCTGCAGACACACGGGCAACAGGAGGCAGACTGGCACAGCGGCTACCGGACGAAGTCCCCGGAATACAGGAGTAACAGGCCCCGCGGCTAAAGTTGCGGCAGACGAGCAACGGACCCACGGGCGGCTGGCACAGCTGGCTACGACTGGGCTACCGGACGAAGTCCCCGGAATACAGGTGCTGCTGGCGACACGACGGCAACCTCCATACAGCTTCCCCAATCTATCCCACTCCCCCTGGCACACACCCGCTGCTACACCGCTAGCTCCACTCCCACGCACCCCCCTTAAACCCTAAACCCCAGTCTCCCACACATCCACCCCCCTCAGCGACAGGTGCAGCAGTGGGAGACAAAGGAGGAGGAGGAGCAAAGGGAGGAATGCAGAAGTGCCACCCCCATACTCGCCACCCCCTACTCACCACTCCCCAAACCCTAACACAGGCAGGGCGGGATGGCGGGTAGGGAGGTTACGGGGGAGGGGGGGGGGGGGGGGGAACCGACGCGCGGCCTCCCAGGGCGCCAAGACAGGCAGCAGAAGGGGCGGCGCTCGCCCCCCTCCCCCAGGTAAGTCCTCCCGTCGCCTGTCGAGGCGACCCTCGGGGGCCGCGGGCCGCAGGCGGGGCCGGGGCGCAGGTAGGGCGATGGGGCCGGGGCGCAGGTAGGGCGTCGGGGCCGGGGCCGCAGGCGCGGCCGGGGCCGGGGCGCAAGTAGGGCGACGGGGCCGAGGCGCGTGCCCTCGGTGCGCCGCGACGGGTCCCCGTCGCCCGTCGCGGCGCCTCCAGAGGGCGACGCGGCGAACGACGAGGCAGAAGCCCGCCGCGCGCCTCGGGGCGCACAGCGGGCAGAGAACCGCCGCGCGCCTCGGGGCGCACGGCGGGCAGAAAACCGCCGCGCGCCTCGGGGCGCACGGCGGGCAGAAAACCGCCGCGCGCCTCGGGGCGCACGGCGGGAAGAAAAAGTGCCGCACGTCAGGGGGCGTGCGGCTCAGAGAGTAGTGAAAGGTAGTTGCAGCGGAAGCAAGGAGGTGGTAACCCACCCACAGGATCGATCCAAGGGGATCGACCTGCTCTGATAGCATGTGAAAGTTTAGAAGAAAGAAGAGGGATTGCACTAGCAAGAATGGGGATACAAATAGCAAACCCTAGAAGGGTCGTACTCGCTATAGAGCACCCCACTACAGGCTAGAGCATAAGATAACATTCTGACACTTTTTGCCAAACTGGACGAACTCGAACACGGTCCACAAAAACAATAGTCTTCTTGACGCTAAGTGCGTGCTTATATGTGTGGTAAAGGATACAGCAATAACCAAGATGGTGTGGGTGTATTTGGCACGTGTATACATTCACAACATGTGTTTTTGTTATTCGTATATCAGTATGGGCGATGTTTGTACCCAATTTATTGAAGCCTCGTTTAGAACATGTGGTACTGTTAATGTGCGGACTATTGAACACGTTGGGAGAATTGTGAACGAGTTGAGTGGTACATGGATGTGCGTGAAAGCATTCTTATATCAGCATCCTATTAATCAAGGTACCAGAGTCGCTATAGTGTAATCATATGTAACACCTGCTAATCGCATGTAATCATAGGTTTCAGATACGATGGGTGCCATAATGCTGAACGTACAAGACTGGGAAGGTTGGACTCCTGTCACATGCGATCCAAAAACAACACAAAAGCAACATAGTAGTGTACGAGAGACATTGCTCTCGTTAATATGTTTGCCCATAAGTGGGTTTAACCCAATCTGGGTTATTACTTCATCCCACCTTGATCTTAGTTCATTCAAACTCGTGCAATGTCTTGAAGAACATGTGCCATAGCTGGATCTTTGATGCTTCCTACTACCACAGCTGCAATGTGCACAATTGTACCAGCCTTGGTGGCGCTTATACACTGTACAGACGCATCCGTTTCATCTGCTTGTCATCCATGGCTGATGTGTCCCTAGTTTGCTTTCTTGGCCATATATTGTGGCATTGGTCTCATTACATCTGGCTCATTACAACATTTCCCGATTGGTTTGCCACAAGCTAGTACATTGTAATTATGATGGTGCATGTGGCTATAAAACATGTCACGTTGTTTGGGCGTTAGTTATCCATGTGGGTAGGATGTAGGTGCTGTGAATAATATCCATCAATCTAGAATCTGTGGCCAACGTAATATGGACACTAAATTGAAGACATCTATAGTAGTCTGAAACATTTTGTGGATGGGATCAAAAGATAATGTGCAACGTGAATGGGCATCGTATAATGCCTGGCAAAGTACCGTGTCTTTGTAATCTGAGACTTGTAGTAGGGTTGCGGGGTTTTCTTTCACATGTTAGTTTCCGTTGTCCCAAAAAGCTGTCTTTATAGATGAGTTTACCCTACCTTTCTTATGTTGTAGATTAATCCTGTTGAATGCACGTCATTCTGAGTGCATGTCATCGTAACGTCCTGCCGAATGCTCGTGCTATTCATGCGTGCATTATTTGCATGAGCATTTATCATTGTGCATGGCTGTTGGAAATTATCATCTCCGTGTTTTTCTCCAAGCTTAAATGCTTGATCATGCAGGAGAAATCCGGAGCTTTCCAGCTATCATCTCTGTGTTTTTCTCCAAGCTTAAATGCTTGATCATGCAGGAGAAATCCAGAGCTTTCCAACGATACCAAGATCGCCTTATTCCAACCAAGATCGCCCAAGCTACAAGATTTCCAGGACTTGGATTTCTTATTACCTTTTAAGGTTATATCTAATTTGGGTGATTACTTGGGACATGACTATAAAGGGATCTTTGGTTGGGTGGTTAGGGAAGGCAACTTTGACTTTTGGATTGGGGTGGCTAGAAGTTTCTAGCATGGGTTGCAAATGTTGCAACACCTAGGCAAAATCCAACTAGATTGGATTTCGCATATGACACCTCAAGGATCTCATGTTGAGGGTTGCATCCTTGCTGCTAGGAAGGTTTCTACCATCCTTCCCTAGCTTTTGGAGAGCCCCTTCCCTCTTATTGTTTCTCTTGGAGTCCCCAACTCCACATTTTATACCTACATGCTGGTACTTCCTCCACCATTCTATTCATGCAGCTGCTGGACGTTTTTACTTGGTTCGCACTTTATAGACCATCTTAACAACTGATTCAACTTGGAGATGGTAGCTGAGCTTAAGGCGCACAATCCTACCGAGCGGATTTGCGTTTAACTGAGAAATGACTTCGTCGTAAACTCTCAAAGTGACGGATCTTGAACAACAAGTGGTATCAGAGCGGTTAGTCGACTTTGAGACGACGAATCGTCGTGAATTCTGAACCAGTTTTGACAAATGAGACCATTGCCTAGTAGCTCTGTTTGCGAACTTTTGATTGGTGGTCAAACCACGTTTTAAGTCGAAGTATCCAGTCCGCGACAACATTTTTCGTAGAGTCGAAATTTCTGGCAGAATTCTCTCCAAACGATTTCTCAAGTTTCCACCGTTCATAAGGCCTCAATATGACAGGAACGGACTCCAGAGGTGCTAGTGGCGAGATGGATAGAGGTAGATAGGCTCGAGAGCAGGGGGGAGTTGCTGGTGGTGGAGTGGGGACTCACCAATCAGCCAACCGTACGCTACGTACATCTACTACACCATCTCCAACAACCGTGGATCCCGTGAAGGCGTTCTCTATTGAGAAGTTCATGGGGGGGGACTACGAGCACTCGAGCTTCCGCATGAGGCTGATGTACACCCAATACAAGCTATTGGATCTGGTGGAGGGGAAGGAGAAGATGCCGGAGGCCGTGGAGCTGAAGGGAGCATGGATAAAGCGGTCGTTCGACGCGTACATGCTCATGGTGCAAGCGGTTGGCGGACGACAACTTGTCCACATCAAGGACCTCTTGGGTGATCCAGAGTGTGGCCCCAAGGCTTGGAGGAAGCTTCTGGATGTGCACGCACCGACACATGCTACCAGCATCGTGCTACTCGCGCGGTGGCTGCGCGACATCAAGTTCGTTGATGGAGAGCCGATGCAATCGGTGTTGGATGAGATGCGGGACATCTTCACGAAGCTACAAGGCGGCGGTGTGGTGTACTCGGAGCTCGTGCAATGCGTGGAGATCGTGATACGGCTGCCGGAGTCGTGGTCTGCCCTTGCAATCAACCTCAACTCTCAACAGCCCCAGTGGAGCGTGGATTACATTCGCGCGCGCATCCTAGAGGAGGACTTGCGGTGGCGGAGTGTGCAGTGCTCGGAGGAGGGGGCTGGTTATGGAGTTGGAGGTGGAAAGAGTGGCTTCAAGAAGAAGTGGAAGGGCAAGAACAAGGACAACCCTAAGGAGGATGGCGGTGGGGGTCAAGGGGAGGTGTGCTTCTATTGCAAGAAGCGCGGACATCGTTGGCGGAAGTGCTACCAACGACCCAAGGATTGGACCCCGCCTTCATCAAGCAACCAGCGTGGTGGCACGAGGAGTGGGGGAGTCATGGGAGCTAGTGGAGAGGAGAAGGGGAGGAGAAAGGCGGCAAATCTGGGGAGCAGAAGGCCAGGTTCTTCTTCTTCGTGAACGAAAGCGCAACCGACCTCGCTATGGCTGCCAAGGTTCTCCTACACCCCCTCACCCATTGGGTGATTGACTCCGGGAGCTCTTGGCACATGACTCCTCGTGCGGACCTACTCGATGAGATTCAGTCCGCACCCATATCTACAGTCACATCCGCGACGTGCGCCAAGGCCAAGGTCATGGGCATGGGATGCGCCAAGTTCATGGGAGCGGATGGAGAGCTTGTGGGGCTGAAGAACGTGCTGTAGGTGCCGGACTTGTGCGCGAACCTGATTTCTACCTGCCGGTTGGGAGATGCGGGTGTGAACACCGAGACGATTGGCTTGGAGCGCTATCGTGCCTACAACGACGAGCGGCTGATTTGGGACCTGCAGCGGAAGGGAGATGTCCACAAGCGCATGTGGTAGATCCCGGTCCTCTCTTGGGGGAAATTGGGCAAGGCGGAAGCTGCGGCATCTATGGAGGAGAGCGTCACTGAGGAGGAGCAGCAAGGTGGCAAGGAGATGAGCTGATTGGAGGAAGTGCGGCGGTGAAGGCGTCGGCTACCTTGGGCCAAGCGGATTGGGAGACTTGGCATCGGCGACTCGCACACATGGCTATATCTACATTGGAGGTGATGCACAAGGAGAAGTGCGTGCATGGGCTGCAACTGCAAGGAGATGGCGCTCACTATGGCAGCTGCGAGGCGTGCATGCAAAACAAGTTTGCGCGGATCCCGTTTCCACGTGCGGAGGGATCAGCCAAGGCACCCTTGGAGGTGGTGTACATGGACCTGGTGGGTCCTATGAGGACGGAGGGGACTAGGGGAGTGCTGTACTTCCTTACCACGGTGGATGAATGGAGCAGATTCACATGGGCTCGTCCCTTGTCCAAGAAGAGTGATGCTGCAGCGGCGATCAAGGAGGATTGGTTGCCGATGGTGGAGCGGCAAGCGATGCGGCTGGTGAAGGTGCTGAGGAGCGACCGTGGTGGGGAGTTCCTTGGAGCGGAATTCACCAAGTCTCTCAAGAGGAACGGCATTCGACACCAACGGACCTGCCCTGGAACACCGCAGCAGAACGACATTGCTGAGCGTGCCAACCGGACCATTGGCGAGGCGGCTAAGACCTTGTTGAGGGCTGCTAGGATGCCCTACAATTTCTGGCCTGAAGCTGTTTGCCATGTCATCACGGTCAAGAACAGGGTCTTGATGCATGTTGGCGACAAGCATTGGGTGCCGTACGAGCGTTGGCTTGGGAAGAAGCCATCCATTGACATGCTGCGGGTGTGGGGCTGCATGGGGCTTGTGATGGTGCCTAAGGAGCAGAGGCACAAGCTGGAAGTTGCTGCTGTGTGGGCTGTCCATCTGGGGATGGCTCCTGACTCAAAGGGGTGGCTGATGTGGGACCCCAAGAGCAAGAGGACGCTGGTCAGTCGTGGCGTCAAGTTTGTGGAGGACGTGATGTACAAGGATTGGCAGTAGCTGCAGCAGGTGCAGATTGGCTTGCGCCTGCAGGAGATTGAGCGGTTTGCAGTGGAGGAGGTTCAACTGCACCTTGAGGATCTCCCTGGGTCAGAGCTGACCAGTGACCACAGTGGCGGTGGTGAGCAGCAAAGTGCTGGTCCTGCTAGAGAGGAGGGGTTGGAGGATGATTCAGCACGTGTGGACTCACCAACTCAGCCCGAGCCTGCTGCAAACGCCAAGGTCACCAAGAGGAGTGTGCAGAAAGGAGCTTCACCACATGGGCAGTAGACTGCAACCCGCGAGAAGAGAGTGGCAGCAGCACCTTCAAGGCTAAAGTATAGCCGTTTGGGAGGACCCAAGCAAGGTGCCATGGCGGTTCAGGCGGATGAGGGAGAGGATGAGGAGATGGCCTTCTGTTTCTTCACACCCTTGCCTGGAGAACCAGCCATAGTGGGGGAGGCACTGAGTGGACCCCAGAAGGAGGAGTGGAAGGCTGCCATGGATGCGGAGTTCAACAGTCTCATTGAGAATGGGACTTGGGAGCTTGTTGAGTTACCCGAGGGGCGACGGCCGATCAGCAGCAAGTGGATCTTCAAGGTGAAGAGTAGTGCTGATGGTGCGTTGGAGCAGTTCAAGAGCCGCCTGGTCGCCAAGGGGTTTCAGCAGAAAGAGAAGGTCGACTTTGGGGAGGTCTTCGCTCCCGTTGCTAAGTCAGTGGCTCTGAGGACTTTGATGGCTGGCGCAGCTGTGAAGGGATGGCATGTGAAGCAGATGGATATCACCACTGCGTTCCTCAATGGAGTGCCGCTGGAGGATATCTACATGGCTCAGCCCGACGGCTATGAGGATGGGACCAGCCGGGTGTGCAAGCTTAAGAAGGCCATCTATGGCCTTAAGCAAGCGCCCAAGAGGTGGCTGAAGGTGCATCAGTCACACTACATCTCTGGTGTGATGTAGCGGTATGGTGTGACTGGGGGTCGCACTGTGATGACACCATTCCCTGCGGGCTTCAAATTAAAAAAGGCAGCTGAGGGGGATGATGTACTTGAGGATGACCACCAGAATGAGTACCAGTCACTCATTGGGAGTGTGATGTATGCAGCTGTGCATACGCGACCTGATGCTTCATTCGGAGTGGGGCAGTTGGCCAGAGTTGTTCAGCGGCCCACTGAGGAGCAGTTGGAGGTGGCAAAGCGCTTGGTGCGCTACCTCGGATCAACGGCATCTGCTGGTGTTCAGTTTTCAGCTAGCGGCCAGCTGAAACAAATTGGAGCAGATGGGGTCACGCATGGAACCTTGAAGCTCTCGTGCTTTACCGACGCTACGTGGGCCTCAGAGGAGGAGGATCAGTCATCAGTTGGCGGCTTTGTGTGCATGGTCAAAGGTGGACCAGTGAACTGGAGGTCCAAGAAGCAGAGTGAGATTGCTCAGTCTTCCGGAGAGGCAGAGTACATGGCGATGTACAAATCAAGGAGATCGTGCTCTTGAGGAAGCTGCTGGAGGACATGGGGGCTGAACAGGAAGGGCCTACACCACTTTTCTCCGACAGTGAGGCTGCTATTGGCATGGCCAATAATCCTATCCTGAATGGGCTGAAGAAGCACATGAAGATCAAGTGGCACTAGGTGAGTGAGATGGTGAAGGAGGGGATTGTTGAGCTTCACCATGTAAAGGCTACCAAGGAAGCGGCAGATTTTCTCACCAAGAGACTTCCCAAGAACGCACATTGGAAGTGTGCTAAGATGTGTGGCATGGCATTGCACTAGTGTGGGAAGCAGTTTCATGAGTGCATGTGTGATTGTGTGCATGAGAGTTTGCATGTGTGTGAATGTGTGTGCATGCAGTCCGTTAGTCTGAAGGGGAGTTTGTTGAATGCACGTCATTCTGAGTGCATGTCATCCTAACGTCCTGCCGAATGCTCGTGCTGTTCATGCGTGCATTATTTGCATGAGCATATATTATTGTGCATGGCTGTTGGATATTATCATCTCTGTATTTTTCTCCAAGTTTAAATGCTTGATCATGCAGGAGAAATCCAGAGCTTTCCAACGATACCAAGTTCGCCTTATTCCGACCAAGATCGCCCAAGTTACAAGATTTCCAAGACTTGGATTTCTTATTACCTTTGAAGGTTATATCTAATTTGGGTGATTACTTGGGACATGACTATAAAGGGATCTTTGGTTGGGTGGTTAGGGAAGGCAACTTTGACTTTTGGATTGGGGTGGCTAGAAGTTTCTCGCATGGGGTGCAAATGTTGCAACACCTAGGCAAAATCCAACTAGATTGGATTTCGCATGTGACACCTCAAGGATCTCATGTTGAGGGTTGCATCCTTGCTGCTAGGAAGGTTCCTACTATCCTTCCCTAGCTCTTGGAGAACCCCTTCCCTCTCATTGTTTCTCTTGGAGTCCCCAACTCCACATTTTATGCCTACATGCTTGTATTTCCTCCACCATTCTAGTCATGCAGCTGCTGGACGTTTTTACTTGGTTTTCACTTTATAGACCATCTTAACAACTGATTCAACTTGGAGATGGCAGCTGATTCTAAGGCGCACAATCCTACTGAGCGGATTTGCGTTTAATTGAGAAATGGCTTCGTCATAAGCTCTCAAAGTGACGAATCTTGAACAACAAATCCAACGCGTGTGTGGGTTTCGTAATAAAGTTGTTGGCATGTCTTGTGGAGTACTTTTTAACTATTTTGCTTAGGGTGACTGCTCCATTTATCTGCTACAAAAACAGGGGTTCCGCTAATGATCCGCCTTTTTGGGACCAATCACAATTGATGCTTGTCTCGAAAATCCAATCGCACTGCGACTTTGTTAAGAAAACACGTACTTTTGTTAGCGATAGAAAACGTCTAGATCCAGTACATACTACTTTTGTATTACATAGGCTAGCTATGTTGACTAATAATCACGGCCAGTGCATTACTCTAGAATTATCAGGACATTGCAGATAGTCTAGTACAATTATTATCAGCTGCATTGTTCACGGCTCACCCCACTATGTGATACACACCTCTTGCAGCCCGGTCGGAGCCATTCTTCTGGGTGCAGGTTGCGGAGTTGTGGTCACGCCCCAAGCAGGTTTTGCAGCGATAGTTCCCCTTCGGATCATCCCTGCCCCTATAAGAATGGGGGCGGCCAGGACCCCTACGAGTGAAATTTGGAGCATCACACACTCCCTGAGGCACAGGTGTTGTCTATGCCATCAGGGTGTCGATGCAAGATCCAGGGATGATGTGGGAGTACGTGCGACGGAGGTTGAATGTGGTGTAGTAGTCGCTCACAAACGCCATGGCGTGTGCGCACGGAAACGCATACTCAGTCCAATTGCCGCACTCACACTTGCCCTCGCCTCGGATATCGACGTTGAAGCTTCGTGGGGTAGGATCCGTCGTGCTGCCGTTGTTTATCACCTCCGCAAGGTACTCGATGCTGGAGACCTTCACTTCGTAGTTCTTTGCCCGCTCGCACTTCTCCTCGTACCGTTTCCTCCCCCACCTCGTGAAATAGTCATCTCGGGCTCTCACCTCCTCATGCCGCTCATGA